GTGTGTGTGTGTGTGTGTGTGTGTGTGTGTGTGTGTGTGTGCACGCTGGGGGGGGGCAACCCCCAGGATACCACCCCTCTTTGAAAGTTTGAACCGTTCTCGTTATTGAGTCCGGGATCCTCATCGCCCCAAATGTGACCCGTTAGACCCTTTGGTATCCCCTGATTGTGACCCCTTTCCCAATTTACGGAACTGCCACTCCTTTCGGACATTTTTAGAATCTATTTTTAGACCACCAGTACCTTTCCCATCTGTCGGCTGCTGGCGCTGCGCGCCAGGCCAAAAATCAAGACTGGCCACCAATTCGGTTTATCGGCGGCGGCCCTTCTGTTTCAGGCCAGCGCGTTACCCGGCACGCCTCTGAAAAAATAGCTGGGAAAGGTACTGGTGGTTCAAATGTACATATTGCAAGGAACTCCTTAGAACTTCCACGGGAGACGGTTAACGGGGGCCCAAATATTCGCCGTTTTCGTTGGCAATTGCGGTGCAAATTTCATCAAAAATTAACGGGGGCCCAAATATTCGCCGTTTTCGTTCGCAATTGCGGTGCGAATTTCGAAAAAAAAAAACAAAAAACACTATGAAACCCTAACACAAAGACACTGTCCGAGTCAAAATGAAGCGTCCAACGAATTCAACAAAATGCCAACTTTTTCATTATTGATCCAAACATGTCAAAACTGCACACATGACGTACCCTAAAGCACATATATATCACACAAAAAGAAAAACAAGAAAAAAAACAACATATCAGCACAATATGACAGTTTCAGTGCAATTCTGTGCAAAATTCGTCGAAAATAACACCCCTGTTTTTTTTTCTTGTTTTTCTTTTTGTGTGATATATATGTGCTTTAGGGTATGTCATGTGTGCAGTTTTGACATGTTTGGATCAATAATGAAAAAGTTGGCATTTTGTTGAATTCGTCGAACTATGACTAAGGGGTAACTTGAGAGTCAGTAGTCATGGCAAACGTCTCAGAGGGTGGGGGAAACTCCATAGCCCTGCACTGTTTAACTTCCTGACTCTGCAGCTTGGAGAAGACATCCCTTGGGGTGCTAGGGGTGTTGATAAGAGCAATCACCCCTAGCCCGTAACAGAGACTCCATCTATTGGCTAATGTCTCTACTGGCTGGTCTGTTTTCCCTATGTGCTTGGGGCCGCGTCGTTTGATGTGGCGGGTTCCACCAGACCGCATAAGCTTGCCACCGTAGTACCTATCTGCTCAGACAGTTTCAGACAGTCACTCCTTAACCCATCCAGGGACAAGGACGGACTCCTTCTGATGACTCTTTGCTGGTTCTTTGGAGCCAGCGTCCTTAGCCCTCCACGCAGCGATTACCTCTTCATAATGATTGGGCTCACCACTGCCTACTTCTTGCTCTGTGTCCACATGGTCTGAAGAGGCCACATGGTCTGGTCCACATGGTCTGAAGGCGATTTCTGCTCTGCGTCCACAAGGGCTGAAGAGTCTACTTCCTCCTGATTCCCATAACCATTCATGTACAGGAGTTGATCAGATTTTCTCCAGTCCTGAGGCAGCTCCTTCCTGCTCCCACTACCATGCCCTTAGGAGACATTAGCATTCCTCAGCTATTATACTTATAAGTGCAGTTTTCTGCTGCTGATGGATGCAAAGTCATTCTGCTGTGCTGGCCTCACTGGCCAACAGATTCCTTACAGTTTCTTAAAAGGCTATGAGATAAGCGGTGAGGAGTACAAATCTCCTCTAGGGCCATAGCCCCAAGATCTCTCCCAAAGCTCATGTCAATTGCTACTCTGTTCAGTCATGCAACTGCGGAGTCCTGTAAGCCATAAATTCCATGCCATCTAGTGTATCTTTCACTCTGGCATAGAGTGGGACCGTCCTTAACCAGACATCAAAGTTTCTCACCATTTTTGTCCTAAGTATAAGGATCCGGCTTCTTCAAATCAATGCTGGCAGGCATCTCCCAGACCCTTTTTCCTGATATCCTCCAAATCCATTCTGGATATGGGACGCCGGACCCATTTTTCAGCAGGTGACGCTCCCCACCAATAGATGGAGCCTCTCCCCAGGTGCTAGCGGTGTCTGCTCTTATCAGCACCACTAACACTGGAGGGGGTGTTGGTTAAAAAAAAAAGAAGAAGAAAAAAAAGAAAGTCTGGACGAAAGGGGGACATGGCATTGGTGAAGGGCCTGTAGCATCCAACGCCGGTGCCGGGCCTAGATTGACCCTTCACTGGGACTGAAGAAGACTGCGCTGCGACCTGTGATGCAGCAACATCAGCGCTACCGGATGACTGGGCGCATGCCCAACAGACATGCATGCGACTTTGCTGTCGCCACAGCTGAGGCCAGGACTCCTGTCCTGGTCAGAAGCTGGTCCAACATGGACTCAATGGACCCCATTCGGTCACTCAGGCTCACTAGCACTGTGTTCACAGCCTTACCTGTCTTTGATAAACTCTTTTCTGCAGCCCATGTTTCCTGTTTTTGCAACTCCCGCGCCCATATCGTTGTGTGTACCACCTGCTTTCTTTCTTCTGCTGCTTCCTTCAGCATTGCTACTCTAAGATCTTCTTCTAAATGTCGATGTAGTACACGCAGGCCTACTCCAGTCATACCCGCTGTACTGGCTACAGCCTGTCTAGACACAACTGGACTGCTACCATCTTCACCAGCATAGAACACCCGGTCATTACACCTGTATCTACGGAAACTTTCAGTCCAGATGCAGCGATCATCACCGGGCATTCAATTCGGGTGAAGACGGTAGCAGCCGAAGCTGCTGGCTGAGAACTACGTCTTCTAGATTCCGCCGTTAAAGACCTTACTGCTTGCGGCTCCTGTCTCAGTTCCCGCTCCCCACCGTCAGATAGCTGCTCGGAGCCTTGGAACATGACCTAACCTAGCCATGTCACTCCACAAAGTCCCTCCCTCCGGCTGTTCTGTTCTCCTACTCGTGTACCGCAGAAACATCGACTCTCGCAGCGCAAGGAACCATGTTCCTATCTTCTACCATTCAGTAGCTTAATTGGGTGTCTGTTTAACAGCCTGAGTGCACACCCAAGAAGCCTCAGAATAGTTGCACCTGTGCTGCTATGTGCGCATCCAAGTACTAAGCACGCACTTTTTTTTGAAATTTTCATTTGGACCATTTCTCGATTTATGCGTGTCATCCTTGTGCAGGGGCCATGCTAATCTATCTGCTCTGTATCGTTCCAATGTTAACCGATGTCCCGAATGACAAAGCATAAACTTATGATGCCGCCAACCATGAGATAATCTCGCCAACTTATGATGCTCTGCTTGATGACCGGTCGTGCTCAGGCACCACAAACATATAAATACACCGTTCCACTTTCAGCAATGGCAAGCACCAATATACTCTCATCACACCGAGTCATCTGCTCAGTACAACCTCCAAGGCTGTCCTCAACCGCCGTTAGGGAACTACGCTCCGATACCAAAAAGTACAGAGCCCAACAATGAGAGCATAAATTTTCCGGCCACAAAAGGCACCAAAGCAAATCAAGCATATAAGATCAAAGTCAAAAGCAGGTTAACAAAGCCGAAATCACACCAACTGATGAAGTCTCTTGACATAGAAAGCCCCACGCCAGACGTCCACTTATGAATACAACAAAAGTTTGCCTCTCTTCTATGATGTGACCACTTGCACTACTTCCCTACTTAAACCACCAGTACTTGGCCCATATATCGGCCGCGGGCCTTAGAGTTAATGCTACGTGAAGTTCGCGCTTCGGGCAACCGGACCTGGAAGGCTGGTGCCGCCAGCCTTTCCGAAAACCAAAATCGAATTGGCGCTTCGACGGGAAACGGCACGCAGGGCACTTCCAGGCTCGGCTGCGATAGCTGGGCCAAGTACTGGTGGTTTAACTCTACATTCTATACTAAGGGCATACTCAACACCAGGCTCTCAAAATCGCAAAAGATGAAAATGAGCGGCCAGATTGAGTCCTTGTAAAAGGAGGACTCTATCTGCTGGCTGCTCAATTTGTGATTTTGTGTTTTTGAGGGCCTAGTGTGAGTATACCCTAAGCAGGCGATGTAGTATAAGTGGTCACATCATAGAAGAGCAGCAAACTGCGTCCGCATCTCCTTCTTCCTCATCTAGAGTAAGTAGGGCGGACGTGTCCGGTATAGAATGACATTTGGACACAGTTTTGGAGGATTCTGCCAGCTCGACAGAAGTGTTAACCTGCTGGGCTTATTTTTAAGCCCTGTGAGTCTGTTTGTCTGTCTGTTTGTCTCTCTGAAACCATGGGCCCAAGTGCAGGTTACCATTTCTGGAAAACTTTCAAAACGACCAGGACGGAACTATTGATGTTGTCAAATTTTGGGATAGATCTGATCGCTCGACAGAAGCGCTTCATACAACAACTTTTTTAATTAAAATTTAAAACAGTTGCTTCACATATCGCAGAAACAAAGCATGGAACATGGCATGCTGTGCACGCAATGAGCTAAACATCCCCTTACACCACCAGTACATCCAGCTATCGGCTGCGGGCCCTTTTCGGAGGCCGCCCGCCGTCGATTCGATTTATCTATGACGCTGGGCCTCCAAAAATTTCGTAGGCGACAAGTTTTTTTTTTCCAGCAAGGCTGCGGCCGTGTACTGGCGGTTTAAACCACCAGTACAAGGCCCCCCAGCGACGATGAGAATCCCCCGATTGAGCCTCTCCTAAAAAAATTCAGAGGCTCGCGTGCCGTTGATAAAATACATTGGTGGTGGGTGGCCTCCGAAAGTGGCCCGCGCCCGACGGCTGGCATGTAATGGTCCTTTAAGGAACTCTCAGCATCTGCATCACATCAATCCAAAAAGACTCCAAAGAAACAGAAGACACTAATTTAGGAATTAGCAATTACTAATTATGCTGGTTACTAATAAAGTAATTTTCCCATTATCGCTTCTGGGAAATTGCTGACGATGCAACTTGCTGGAAACATCAGGGAAGAAGCCCTCTTGTTATGCAGCGGTGAAAGGGTGCTCTGCTACAAAAAAAAAAAAAAAAAAATTTTTTTTTTTTTTTTTTTTTTTTTTTTTTTTTTTTTTTTTTTTTTTTTTTTTAACGAGAAACCTTGCTTTTTTTTGTTAATAAGTCTGGAAACTGGGTCCAGTGTCCCTTACATCCAAGTACTCTCTGCCACAATTTTCAGCGATACTCATCACCGCAATCTCCACGAAGCACCTTTCCTTTGCGTACAACTAACTCTATTCGTTGGATATCATCTGAATCAAGCCCAGGGAAAGAGAAAGTCCGCAGGTTGTCCTCCACATGCCCAGAAATACTTAGTCGTGCCCCAATGATCACTGCACCAACTGCTGGCTTGTCTGCGATGTAGCGTACTCCCACATTTGCGATACTGATGTTATATTTGTCGGCAATTGACCGAAGCGTTGACAGCAGTTCCTGCGGCAGGACGAGCGAACAGAGCACAGAGTTGGTTCCCTACAGAGTACTTCCACTCTTACACCACCAGTACTTGGCTCAGCTATCGATGCCAAGTCTGAAAACGGGCTGCGCGCCATTTCACGCCGACCCGCAAGCGGAACAAGAAAAAATTGTTTTGGCTGGCGGCGCCAGTCTTTGAGGGCCGGTACCCCGAGCCTCCGGAAGTTGCGGGGCGTTAACAACAACGCCCCACGGCCAATGTATGGGCCAAGTCCTGGTGGTTTAAGTCATAGTGCGCAGCCTCCCAGTTTGCCTGCCTAATGACAGTGAGAAGGAGTTATACCTGCCTAATGACACTCTCTCCCATTGTGAACAGCCTGTCTTTCATTACCTGCCTAATGACAGAGAATGTAGAAACAACAAAGGACTTTACAACTCACAGGTGACCGGACCGGTCACACAGATAACGATGCATGAAGTGCCTCCGTCTGCAGTGCAGCAGAATCCTAATTGGCAAGATGAAATTCAAATCTAATACAAATTTCAAACACAAAAGATGGTCACACATAGAAGAATCATGGCAGAGAGAAGGATTGCGGTTATCCCAACGGTTTGCCGCCGGGGGTGCTCAGAGAAGTCGATTGAACTCTATCGCTTCGAGGAAGGAGAAGCCAAAACAAGGAAGGTTTCTGTTGGTGAACGTGCGGGAAACCCCCCCCCCCCCCCCCCACAAATATGGCAGAGAATGTGGAAACAACAAGCACTCACAGAAAAAACAGGAAGGTGATTGGATGCATGTCATGTCACTCATTTTTTCTTCTTCCTCTTTTTTTTCTTTTGTGTTGCGCATACGTCAATGCATGCAGTGCCTCGTTTCTTAGTGCGGAGTGGTCACACTTGCGGAGAAGCAGTTCTTTCAAGGACAGAAAAAATGGATACACACAAGAGGAGTATTGAGCATGCTGTCATATCTCCCTTCTCTCAACCTTTCTCTTCCTCATTGGCCCAGTATAACTTGCTACAAAAAAACTTAAAAAAGTACATTGAAAGTTTCATCGCCCTCCCCCACATTGTATTGCAGCTAAAAGCTGTCACCCAGCCAAAGGAATTTTACATGCAAAATTGCAAATTGATGTGATGGACCGTCACACATGTGGAAAACCGGGCACATGCCCGTGCATTTGACACATATCTAATATGATAATATCTATCAATAAAAAAAGAGCGTGCATTAAGAAACAAACAGAGAGAAGAGAGAAGAAACCGTTCGTGTAATGTGTTGCCTTTTTCTGTGCAAATTGACGCTTTTCTTTTATTCTTTCTTTTGGCTTTCTTCGCGCTTGCTTCGCGCTTTCTTCTTTCAGCTCCCTTCGGACTGCCTCTCACTCTCAGGTGCAAAGCTCGCCGTGTTGGTGCAGTTGAGACCGTGAGGTGCCCACACCCCCATTTACCATAACAGCACATTTGGACGGGACAGAGGGTGGCAGGGCAAGGACTCAGGAGACAGGAAAGACGGAGCGAAGGAAGAACAAGAGGGAGACTCAGTGAGAAATGTCTACTAGAGTCATGACCACAGAGTGAAGGGTAAATGCAATCTGCCCTCGACAACAGAGGACAAACTTTAAGTAAGGATGAGATGGGTGATGTCGTGGACGACCTCTCTGATAGTACTCCGCACGGTACAGCCTTCCCCCGAGTAGAATCGTAAGGCGATTACCGCTGTACATAGACGGAAATTGCACACAATACAGCTATACTGACCATACACTGTATTCGGGGTCGATGGCAGTTGCCGTGTCAAGGGGTGACGTTAACCACACCCACAAAACAATCCCAACCAAATGGCATGTCCCTTGCAGGCCAGGATGAAAGAACAATGTGTGACGGTCCCTTGCATCACAGAGGAGCCTGCATCCCTAACAACGTGTCCATGGCCGTGAAATGGACATGAGATGACCGGTGTGGAGGGTGCACATGCCCAGGAAAGGAGACAATGACGCCTGAAGCCTCGGCTGCACAAGTGCCTGCAGAAAGCATGCCATTGTCGTGATTCTGGCGGAGACGATGACACCTGCAACCATGTGCAACAGTCTTTGTAGCCGTGGAGAGGAGAACGTCTCAGAGTGACGACACACTGCCCTGCTGTGAAAGCAATTGCTGTCATCCACCGTGGCATCAACCATGGCGTCGCCCAATTCCCCCATTCCCGGTCCTCTGAGGCGCGGACAGTGGCCGTGTGTAGCGGCGGCCAGGTCGATGTACAAATAGACCGACCGAGATGCGAGATGGAGGGCCCAATCGTTCAACGGGTCCATCGTGTTGCAGATAAAGTTGGCGGCGCCTCATTGCAAGTTGCCGGACCTCTATTGTAAAGCTGCCTACCTTCTGCCTCGAGGAAATAGTTCCTACCTTCTGTCTCGAGGCAGAGAAGATCTACATCACGACGCTAAACGGCAATTGCAAGGTGGTCAGATGCTGCGTAAAAGAGGATGGCGGAAGACACTTAGACAGACATTCATAGCAGCCAGATACCACAAAGACTGAGGAGTGCTCGATGACATTAGAGGAAGGCGAATCGCGGAGATGGTCCTTATTGGTGTGAAGATGATTGAATGCCGCACAGTGGCCAATTTGCGAGCTACCAGATGGTCACGGGCTGTGTCCGGTGCGGTGATTTGCAGATCAGCCATGTGGTCTGGCCCCCCCCTGCAAGTCCATTCAGTGATGTTCCGCTGGTTCAGGAACACTTGGGGCTGCTGCATCTTGAGTAGGGACTGCACCTTGTGCAGCAGGTGAGTCATTGTGGCATACTGCGCAGCCACACGGGCCTGTAGGGCCCAACCAGATGGAAAATAAGGGCCTGGAAGGCCCTGTGTCGTTTCAGCCTAAAAAAGGGCCCTCCAGGCCCTGAGTCTTTTCAGCCTGAAACGGAGGGCCATTTTCAGGCCCTCGTAAGGCCGACCTGCCCTGAAACTTAGGCACCAGACCAGGGTTTTAGCACAGGCCATTTTCGGGCCTGTTTCAAGACAACCTTTGTTTGAACTTCAACGCCAGGGTCTGGCACGATTCGGCATAAGCAAGAGCAGCCTCCCAGGCCGGACCAGCACTATATAGTATTGGTCCGCCCTGCACTTCACAGGCAGTTCACAGGCACTTCACGTGCAGGAGGCAGGCGGCAGTCTTCAGGATTTCGGCAGCAGCACTCTGGAGGAGCGCAGCAGTAGTAGTAGTAGTGTTAGGAGTAGTCTTCAGCGCTGGGCGCTATTAGGAGCTAGAGTAGCGTTGGAGAGAGAGAGAGAGCGGGCGGAGGCCAGGGAGACTTACCTGTGGTGCCATAGCTCCAGCTTCGTCTTTGATGTACCTGCAACAAGGCGCCACCTTCACAGGTTAGTACCGG